CATTTACAGAAAAAATAAATAGGTTGAACATTGAACAAACATTAAAATAATAATACTTCAGTTTCCATTGTTGCTTTTATCTCTTAAATGAGATAAAATAGTCGGAAAATTAATTTAAAACTGGAGATTATATTATTGAAAGAAATTATAGGTCACTTTTAAAAGCATAAATATTAATCTGAATGATAATGAGACACTTAAATTTAATTTTAATTCAATTTAACTAAAAGCAAAGAATTAAAGAATTTTCTATCTTTTACCGAATCATTATGCAGTACTTGACTTGGAAAATTTTCAAAATTGTGAACTGAATGAAATTTTCAAGGATTTGAACACTTATCAACTTAAAATGAATTCATCCCATAAATGGTATCAACTTAAGATTAAATCTATTTAGTAGATTAATGTCAATAAACCCGATATTTTTTTATTCCACTCTAAAACAACAGGTCACTACTTTAAATACACTTTTTTTATTCCTTCACATTCCCAGTGGAACATAGGGCTTGAAGCTAGAGGCTTGAAGTTTCTGTAGCAGTGTTTATCTTACAGGATGGGGTTCCTAGCCTCATGCACAACCTTTTCCTCTTTACCAGCTTTATTACTGGCTTAGTGAGGTAGAGGAATGCGTCGACCGGAGATCGAACCCCGGACCATGTGCATGGTCGGTGAGCATCCTAACCGCTGTGCCACCGACGCACTCTAATACACTTGAAGAAGTGTAATACAGAATTTATCTCTTGTTGATGAAGTTTCACAGTCTTATACCTGGGGGAATTTACTGATGATTGATGAGTTTTTTCTCTCTGCAACATTTGATGTCGAAATCGTTTTTCTAAAGCAATGATCTATAGCCTACGAAGTATTATTACCTGGGTGAGTAACAAACACTTATGAATAGTTACCAATGATCCAGTTCACAATAGCTATAAAACCTGACACCGGAAACAGATAACTTTTTTCATATGTGTATATACCAATTTAACTGCTCCTGTGGAGCCATTTACATAGGCCGTACAATTAAGTGTGTTTCTCGTCGAATTTCCAAACATCACCCTGCCTGGTTAAGCAAAGGACAAACAAAATCTATTTGCAGCACTATTCTGTCTCGTCTTGTGGATACAGAACAAAAGATTGACGTTAATCATGCTTTCAGGGTCATTTACCGCATACCCACGAATCTCATTTTCGCCTTAAGAGTTCGACTACTAAATATTGCTGAGGCTGTGAGAATCTATATCAACAAGCCTAATTTATGCATCCAAAAGAACTTAGATCAGACATTATCATTATCTTGGCCATCCAGGTTTGAATAATCCGGGATTTTTGTGGAATTTCCCCAATTTTAGTTGATATTCTATTCGCTATTATATCTTTATTATTATTATAATTTAAGCATCTTTAATGAACTGTAATTGCATTGATCATACTTTACAAATCGATATTATTTAAAAAAGCACTAATATTGATATTGACTACTATTCTAGAATATTCTGTGTATATATAAACATACATATATAGTCGTAGAGCCGGAAGAGGAATTTATCGAAAGTGATATTCTTTTGCTCGATTATTTTGTGTTTTATATATGTTTGGATGAATATTTTTGCTATATTTAGCCGTTGTCCAAATTTCATACTATTCAGTACTTATACAGAATTACTCTGTTGAAGAATTTATGGTTTACACCTAGAAACCTTCTCTTGAATTTGTAAATATGCTGGGATTTCATTAAGTGATTTAACAATGGTTTCAAGTTCTACTACAGACTGATATCAGGTATAGAACTGTTAGAGGCAAGGGAGTACTAGACACCTGTTTCATCCAAATTTGCGATTCGACATAAATACTCACACATGACCTACCAGGGATTGAACCCGGGACCTTCAGGCTAGGAAGTGAGCTTGTAAACCATTATGCCACTGAGTTGGATTCCAGTGGCCGATGAATTCTAACTTCTGCAGATTTACGACTATTAGTGCCACTGCCAGCCAGTATCATTGGCAGGTATTCGTCTTCACACCTGACCTGATGGACTGTACCAGTGACAACTTCTCACTAGAACTTCAGATAATGTCATCCTGTTGTCGGTCATTAGTGAGCATCAGATTACTGATTGAAGAGTCTCAGATCCACACGAATTAGATGTCCATTACTATCTGATGGCTTTAGGTAATTCTCTAACTGATGTCAATCTATCATCAAACTTTCAGCCAATCAAATCTCTGCAAACTCACACTTTAAAATTTCACACTGGTTTAGTCTGACTTGGGAAGAAAATTGTATACAGCATAGCTGTAAGCTACTATTCTCACTTTTATCTCAAACACTCCATTAAAAATAGTATTATTCTTCAAGTGTTACTCAAATTCTTTCGAGAGAGATAAAAAAAGCAACTAAAGGAACTATTTTTATTCTTTTCCTGTTTGTTATGAATGCCTCACATGACCACATTATTTTCCTCATAATGAACAGAAATCAATATGAATCCCAATCCTCAAAATGTCAGTACATTTACATAAACATTTTTATTCATTTCTTTTCTCTTATTACAGTTTTATGCATAACTAATGATAAAAAAAACAAGAGGTAGAAGGTGATTTCTTCTTAACTTCTCTAACACACATAATTCAGTCTGAAAATGCCAGGAGTAGAATAGAAAGTGTGTGTGTGGCCGTTGTTTTAGTATACCTGTTTAAAATTCTTTACAAAAACTTTTTCACACAAGTTATTATTTTTAGTAATAAATCCTGAAATTCCATTCCTTAACAGCCTTCACTTTTTTCTTCTTTGAAATGAAAGTTTTGGGAACTGTCAAGCATTGGCTTCAAAAATGTTTTCGATACTTGCACAAAAAGATGTCATAATTTTTTTGGAAAAGTTTGTTATTTATAGCATTGTTTTACATACATAAATGATAATGTCAAACCGGTATTTTAACCGGAGAAAACTTCTATTTATAGATCCTGTTGAAATACTGTAGCTATTTCAATCTTCTATTTACAAATCTATAATTTAGGGATTTAAAGTAGGCTGCCATTCGATCAGACTTCATGATTGGCCTGTTTCTTTAGAAATGGTTTAATTACACTGTTTTTATTATGGGTCTTTTGTGGCCATATTAACTGGCTTCGGTGAGGAATTCGTCTGAAATCAGCATTAGTTAAAAATTATTGAAAACGATGGAATACTAGGGGGCTGTTTCGTTCCAGCTTTGGACTTCTCAGCAGTACACACCACCAAGAATCAAATCCAGGCGTAAATCCAGCTTCTCGTGAATTCCAGCCCAAGGGATTGAGTGGTCAATGATCTTGACCTCGTACCCTGAAGGTCCCAGGTTCGATTGCTTGTAGGGTCGTTGGTGTGTAATGCTGAAGGTTCTCAAACTAGGACGACATAACTGCCAGTCACTCCCTGGTTTTCAATGGTTCTCCAAATGATATCAATCTGTTGTCACATTTGATCCTTACAAAATAACTCCTGGAAACCAAGAGTAGTGGCAGATGTAATCTTTCCTACTCTTAAATCCTTTAAGATTTTGTTTATTTCAATTGACCCTCCATGTTTTTTTCATTTTTATATAACTCATCGGACAAGTGAATTTGTGTGTACAGATTGTTGGTAATGTATTACGCAAATACATCACAATATTTCTGAGATAGTCCCTGTCATTTAGTGACCTTATCCATATTCGTTAAGAAGAATCCAATTATCTCCAATTAATATAAAATGGCTTAGCAGTCTTCATAAGTTTATTGTATTCAGTTAGTGCAAGAATATTTCAAATGGAAATAATAGACTATCAGCTTTCGTCATAAAAAATAATTTAATTTAAGATTATAATTGAATTTTTCCCAGTCTAAGGGGTTATTATTAAAAGTAATTCATGGGTTACAAAAAAGTTATCAGTATGAATTATAGTCATATATATAATTCACTTCAAAAATATGGCACACTCTTTGCAAACATTCTCCACACACACACCCTCCTCAACCAAACATGCTACAGATTGTGTGAATGCCGTTTAATGGACATCACTGTGAGATGGGTGGAGGAAATAGGGAAGAAGCCCTGGATCTAAGTTTCCTACTTACTGACACTGATCAGCTTAAAGGAAGCGATATCTTCAAAGAGATCCAAACCAAAATCACTCACTGCTTCAATCAGAGACGTTACCAATAGCAATTCGGGTTCACAATTACATCCTGTATGACTGTAATGAGTTGTCTTCGCTCACTACTCAAGATCGGATGGCACACAAAAGATCAGCAACAAAGATCTCTGGGAGCGAACCAACCAAGAACCAATTGTGAAACAAATAGGCAGGAAGAAATGGAGATGGATTGGCCATACTCTGAGGAAACCATCAAGTGACATCACTAGACAAACCACTGCTCGAGTGGAACCCGAAAGGGAAGCGGCGGCGAGTTGGTCGTCAGTGCAAGGGTGACTTGGAGGAGGTCATGTGAAGGGGAGATGAAAACGTGTGGGAAGACTTGGAGCCAGGTGAAGACCCTAGCAGAGAACCGAACGCAATGGAGACGGCTGAAGCCCTATGTTCCTCTAGGAATTATAGGAAACAATAATAATAATGACTGTAATGAATATACTGGCTATTCACTAGGAAGTGTCCAATGTCATGTGATTGGTCATCATGGATTCGACAATTTAACAGGAGGAAATAATTCGCTAATGGTTACTGAAATAAACATAGTCCAGAAATTAATAAGATCTAATTATTGAATGTATCGTATCCCAAAGAACTCCAAGCTGAACACTAAAAGCAGTGAATAGTTTAAACTGGACCATATCTCAGAACGTGAGATATCAGCTTACTTTCACATATCCCTTTATCCTTACTGAAAGACTTTTGCAAACCAACCATGAGGGCTACACTCACACAGCCAAAGCATCTGTTGGTGAAAGAGATATAAGCCTAAGGAACAAACAATCAATAAGAAAACAAAAAAGTCTAATTACAAAAGTTATTGAAAACTTACCGGCAGATACTGTTAGCTGACGAATATTATTTCCCAGTTTTAAAAGTTCTTCTGTTGACATTATTAAAGCAGATCTACATAAAATCCTCTCGTGTATGTTTTTACTACTGTTGTCAGTTTTGCTGTTAATAGGCTCAGTTAAAAGTGTACTTGATGTAGACAAAAATAAACTTGTTAATGTGTGTTCTGTTTGCTTCCATGTCATTTCTAAGTATCTGCCAATTATCTGATGTCGTGTGCTAACTTCTCGGTGATCACTCCATTGGACAACTTTCTTAGAAGTGATTTTAGGCTTTTTCATTTCATTCTGTTTGTTATCACTTATGTCTGAATCCCCAGTGATATCACAGGGATAGTCACTTTCATGTAAACGATGCTCTTGATCGATATCTGAGTTATTATCTGACTTTACTTTATTATACTCATTGTAAAATGCTTGACTACTGACTGATGGATAGGGTGAAACAGGTGATCCAGTAGCTACATATCTATCCAGTGTGCTGGAACGATGTAATGTGTCCTGATAACGTGAAAGATAACCAGTAATTAAGTCACCTTTCCGATGAATATCTGTTTTCTGGAATGCCTTTGAATAAGCATCTTTTGATTCTGCAGTATTTGAATGACTCATAGATGAGTTTCGGACCAGGACGCCATGTTTTCCCTCAACACTTAGTGCATGAGATGACATAGAATTTTGTTTCGTGTTGTTTTCTGCATAACCTGTTTTCAAACGTTGTTCAGCTTCAGCCTGTCTTACTTGAGCTGTAGCAGCAGCTGATGTGCATACATGCTGTAATTTTTGTACTTGATATAATAAATCAGTTGACTGGGAAAGAATATCTAAAAAACTTGATATAAATTCATATTCATTTCGTAGATAATCTGAAGCTAATAATCCATGATTATCGTTTATGTATTTATGGTACTCTTGAGAAATTAAATTTGTCTCTGAAGAATTATTATTTACATTAACGTCATCCTTGACAGGAGGATCAAGGAATAACTTTGAAAATCTATACAACTGTAAATAAATCAAATGAGCAAGACGCAGGGAACGCTGTTTAGCGAATAATGAAAATAAGCAACCGACAGATATTGAAAATGTAACATCTGCAGGATCAGTTAATAAGTCATAGGAAATAATCTGGGATAATAGTGTTCTACTACTGTTCATATAATGATCATTCATGCATAGTGTAGCTTGATGAGAATTCTGTAAACTATCATAATTACACAACAGTCTGTGTAAGCGTGTATTACGATATGATTGAAATGTATTATGCAAGTGTCCACGCAGTATGCTTAACTCTTCAATACCACGTGTCATTTCCCATAAATCATCATGCGTAAAACGTGTCAACTCTATATGACCTAATAATGATACACCAGAATAAATTAAATGTTGAGCAGAATTTATAATAGCTAATGTTAATACTTTACTATGAAATGAATTAATTTTACAAGCATCTAAAAAGATTCTTTTAAAAATTCCATCACAATTATTTGAGGTGTTTAGTTGATTTAAACGACAACACATATATCGATGTTCATTGGCTAAACGTTTCATTTGTGTCCAACATTGTCGTAAACTTTCACAAAGAATTCTAAGCTCACTTAGCTGAGATGAATAATCATAGTGTCTTGTGCTTGCTGATGTCCTCGACATCATATAATCATCATCATCATTTTCATTATCATTATCATCTTCTTCATTATTCTCATCAAAATGTAACAATGTTGTTAAAAGAAATTCATTGTAATCGTTCAATAATCGAGTAGAGTTCTTTTCATACAATGCTTGAAATGAATAAATATTATTTGTTGATATAGAAAATTTTGTGAGAATACAATCTAATAAATTCAATTCTTTAATAATTATATTCTCTGAATGAGCTAATAATGCAATTAAGCCTAAACTTAATTCTTTAAGTGTTGTGTTCAATGTATCTAAATGTACAATTTTATAAATAGTTAAACAAAAACGATGTAAAATTGATAAATTGTTTAAATTATCTACATTATGTGTTGAATTTAAAGTTTTTATTAAGGATAATTCATTAATATCTTTCACTGTTGATACTGGTGTAGTAATGCTTTCCACAGATGTCGGCAATTGTTGATTTTCACTATCGGTAACTTCATCTGTTTTAAATATCTGTGAAAAGAGGATAACATTTTAAAATATATAGTGATACTTTAAGAATAGTCTTGATATTAAATAACTCAGACAATTTCCCGCTGTATTAAATAAATTTAGACAATTTAATTGAAATACAATGGGGTTAACTGGAACATTAGATGCACTAGGCCAATAACTTTCGCATGATTCGTAATTACACACCAGCTTCACAGACTATTTATGTAAAACTGGTTGGAAGATTTCATCATGAGCTGACATCAGTTATAGAACCATTTGAAAAGTAACTGGGAGTACTGGACAATGGCTCTCTAACTGATATCAGCTCATGATGAAATCTTCTAAACAACAAAAAATCCCTACAAAGCAATACTTGAAAATTCATCTGATGCCCACTAGCGATTGGCCCTATTCAGGCAGTTAACCTGAAGTCCTAGTGGGAAGCCGTGACCAGTAGGGTACAGTAGGTTGAAGGTGAGTACAGTCACTCATCAAAGAAGACATTGCGAAGTGGTCGCGCTATGTCGTAAATTGGCAGAAGTTGGAATTCATGGACTGGCTGGCCACTGGATCGGGTCCCAGTGGCTTAATGATCTACGAGCTCGTTAATCCTGGGTTCAAACTCCGGTGGGTGCGTACTGCCGAAGAGTCCTAGACTAGGCTGACGAAACAGCCGTTCAGTACTCCTAGCTGGTTTTCCAATGGTTCTCTAACTGATGTCAGCTCATGATGAAATCCTCCAACCAATCAAACAAAAATCCTCACAAAACCAATACTTGAAAAATATTTATGTAAAAGTTTATAACTCCACTTAAGTCAGTTAATGATATGGGAATAAGAAAGGTATCCACTTGAAGCGAAATTATGCATTTCTGCACAGTAGATACTAGAAACCAAGATGTCAATTTTCCTAGAGTAATCTTAGTAATAGAAATATAATCTGCATAATTTCCAGTCTCATTCATGATTCATATTCTATGAAAAGTGTTGGTACTATATTGCCACACACCGGTTCCGTAGAAAACATCTAGTGTAGCAGTTGAAATGGTTGACTATGGTTCTGTTTAACATCATACTAGGGAAGTTTATTTAGCATATTTAACATCTAGACGATGTTCGCAGCACAATCTACTGTTCATGTATGTGTCTGCCTAAAGCACACGCAAAGTTAATTCATGCCATGATCTGTTATTATTTACTGAAATTCTTTTTTTAACAGCAAAGTGAACCAGTACAGAGATGAGTAATCTCAATTGAAAAGAACATTTGATTATTATCCAGTGAATAATTCAACTTCCTTTAAAGAATAGATCGTTTGGTGATGAAAAACCCCTTTGAAATCTCTTTATAAGAAATCAAATGGGCGCTTTCTTAGAATAATTCAAAATTAACACTTTTCAACAAAAAAATAACAGATGAATGTATTTTTAGATTTCCTTTATTCATAAATCTAGAATGTGTAAATATTCTATATAAAAATATATGATTTCCGATAAGATTTATTAATGAATATCAGAATTAATTTGTTTATCTTTTTTCACTGGAGCAATGAATACGGAAGTATATATATATGCACCTGGAAGAGTCATTGGCAGAAGATTAACAAGCATAGATATAAAATGAAAAATTTATGTTCATCTTGATTAAAACACTAGTTAAATGGACAAGAACATATTTCATAAATAATAACTTGAGTAATAATTCCGCCTTATTTCTCTAGTTCAGATTTCAAAGATAAGAGTTCATAGTTTCTTACCAGGGTTTTGAAATTTTCCGTATTCCATTACTTGAAAATTTATGTAGATGTTACCTATTTTAATTATCAAGTTGTTAGGACTTAAGATTTATCATTTAAATAGTTGGAATAAAATTATTTTTCATTAGGTATTAAATTTATTTCAACCCTGACGACGGATTGATATCATTTAGAGAACCAGTGAAAATCATGAATTACTGGACAACCGTTTCGTCCTAGTTTGAGACTCTTCATCAGTATACAACAGACAACCCAATCAGTGAATGAGCCAAGAACCCTCAGGGTATGAGTTGCGCACACAGTCACCGGGACGGATTCTAATGGCTCAAGAATTATAACTTATATTAGTTCGCGATTTTTAGCTCCATCACCAGTCAGTGTTACCGGCGAGTATTTATCCTGACGCCTTACCTGGTGGACTCCACTGGCCACGACTTCCAGTCATCGTCGTTGTGCAGTCAGTCACTATTATTATTATTATTGTTCCCTTGGGTTCCTAGTGGAACATAGAGCTTCAACTGCACGTCTCCACTTGCTTCTGTCTTCTGCTGTACTTTTCACCTGCATCCATGTTAGTCCATACTGTTTCAACTCTTCTTCACACGATCTCCTCCATGTCACCCTTGGACGTCCCACTCGCCGCTTCCCTTTCGAGTTCCACTCGATCTATGGCTTGACGCGCGATGTCATCCAGCGGCCTCCTCAGTGAGTGTCCAATCCATCCATCTCCATTTTCTCCTGCATATTTGTTGATCGATTGGTTCTTGTTTTGTTTGTTCCCTTAGTTTTTTGTTGGTGATTCTTTCCGGCCATCTGATCTTCAGTATAGAACGAAGACAGTTGTTGATAAAGGTCTACCTGCAACCTGTTGGAAATATTCTTTGTGACCCACCAGGTTTCTGATCCGTATAGAAGAACTGACTGACTTGACGTTTGTATTGAAAATCCGATTTTTGTTGTTGATGGTGAGTGACGAAGATTTCCAGATTGGTTTCAGGTTGATGAATGTGCTTCTCGCCTTTCCCATTCTCGATTTGACATCCTCGTTCGTTCCTCCTGTAGTTGAGACAATGCTCCCTAGATGAGTGAATAAAGTAACCTCTTTCAAATCCTTCCCGTTGATGGTGATTGGCTCTGGATGTTGCTGCTTTCGTTGTTGTTGGTTGGTTATTTTCATGACCTCCGTCTTGTCTATGTTCACCTGGAGTCCTGTCTTTGCTGCTTCTTCGACCAGTTTGTCGGTTTTCGCTTGTAAGTCTTCGATTTTTGTGACATCAAACATATATCATCCACGCGCGAAATCCAGGTCTTCTAGGTTCTTCACGTCGGTCCAGGATATCCCTGTCTTCTTGTTTCCCACTGTCTGACGCATAATCCAGTATACCACAATTAGGAATATCATTGGTGATAATAAGCACCCTTGTCAGTCACTAGTGAACATCAAATTAATTTTCAGGTGTTAGCTTTTAGGGATTTGAGTGGTTTAAAATGGATCAATATCAAATATTTTCTAATACTTTAAAGATTGCGAGAAAATACAGACATGATACACTACTCACTGTTAATCACTAACTTTAAGTATTCTTATGAGATGATGAAGAGTGTTTCGCACACTCATTTGTTAACGGGATGCATTGCAACGTATCACTGGTAATCTACAATTTCCAGTAATTAGTAATTCCAGTGTTAATTAAATGTTTTATTTACATTTTACGGAAATTTGACGGCTATAATGTTACATTTCCTGATGAAAAATTGAAATCCAAACAGTCACTGACAATCAGTCATCCTACTACGAAACCGACTCACTTCCAGTGTATGTGAGTCTAATATTTACAAATTAGTGAATAAAACCCATGATTTTGGGCCCTGTAAATTATATATTTAAAATGTGAGTGCTGAGAAACAATCCTCATGAGTAAATTCATCACAATGTCTAATTAAAATTTCAGGAAGACAGTTTCACGGCTAATCTCTTTTGATTCGTTTGGATAGCAAACGCTGAGTACGGCCGACATACCTAGCTCCACATGAGCAGGTGAATTGGTAGATGCACATTGATGAGGCCCCCAGTGGAAGCTTATCCTTCACGTTCGTGCGAATCATTGGTTTCGTAGAGAAAGTTAGTCTGAGTTCAGCTGCGAAGAAGGTTTTCTTCAGTGAGCGGCACAGGCGGTTTCTCAGTATTTCTGCTGAAGAATCTCCGTTGAATTGTAGATTCAAATAGAGAAGTTTCTTGGGAGCAGTAAGCATGGACGGTTTTTGTGTTTTGGGCTTCATGGCTTTTGTGATGAAACGTTCCGGGTAACCGTTTTCAAGGAGGATTCCTTTCAAGGTCTTCAGCTCCTCTTCTATGGTTTCCGGACTGCAAATTTTGTGGATTCTGTGAGTCAGTGAGCGGATTAGATTTCGTTTTGTATATAGAGGCACCCAACTGTGAAAGCTGATGAGTTGTCCATTCCATGTCGGTTTTCTGTGAATGAATCTTTTGAGTGTCCCATCTTGTTCGCGTCTTGCTAGTTGCACGTCCAGAAAAGATACTGTTGGGTTGGACTCCTTCTCTAGTGTGAACTGGATTGCTGGATGGCAACTGTTGAAGAAGTCCAATATGTTCTCCAAATTTTCCTCATTATTGGCGATAATAAAAGTATCGTCCACGTATCTCTTATAGAACCCGAAGTTATCTATTGTCTTCTTTAGGTGTGTATTTTCTAGTTTTGACATGAAAATATCTGCAAGCAGCGGGCCGAGTGGTGAGCCCATAGCTATACCATCTTTTTGTCTATATATTTCATTATTGAAAGTGAATTGGACGTTTAGAGTACATCTTAATAGGAGTTCCTTCAAATAGTCCGTGGGTATACCAATGTTCATCTCCTTTGAATCAATATATTCACATATAAAGCATATTGTTTCGGTTAGTGGGACGTTTGTAAACAGTGATACCACATCTAGTGAGAACATGGTTTGATTGGAAACGCTGATGTTTTCAATGGAATTGACAAAATCGAAGGAGTCTCGAAATGAGTGGTGGGAGATTTGCTTTCTGGCTGGTTCTAGTATGTATACTAGTCATTGTGCGGTACTGTGATAAGGTGAATTAGTCATATCGAGAATGGGTCGAAGAGGTACGTCTTTCTTGTGCACTTTTGGTAGTCCATATCGGTAGTCCATATTGGTAGTCCATAATATCTACTGATCAATAATCCATAATCCGTTCAATAACTTAGAATGAATCTGATCACTTTTGAGGTTTACCGACTATAAAACTCACTATTTCTCAACTTGAAACCGTTATGGAATACCATAACATCAACCACTGGATATATAATAAGTCACCATGTCAAATGAAGTGTTTGAGCCAAATACACCTAGTGGATTTATTTCCGCATTGATAAAGAATCGCATCTAGCAACTTTCAGTAATACTTCGTTGTGTTTTTTATTAGTAATCTTGACACTCTTGTATTTATGAAAACTTCATAGCCAACTTTCATATAATCAAATAGAATTTACACAGTATAAATATAAGTTTGCAATCAGAAACCTTTGCAGAGAATCAGCCAAGCGACTAACGCTCAACAAATATGCTGAGGTTAACGAAGATGATTGGGGCACACACTGAGGAGACCGTTAAGTGATATCACGAGTCAGACCCTCGGGGTGGAATCCGAGTGGGAAACAGCGAGTTGCGCATGGGTCCTATATCGACAGTAAGAATCCCGTGGGGAGTAGATGAGAGATTATAGAATCAGCTGAATAGGACAGTAAAAAACAAAGTTAAATGGGAAGGTGTCAATGAAGCTCTATGTTCCACTGCCAACCCTAGGGATTAAAAATGATAACAATGATAAATATAAATTTAATAATAAAAAAGAAAACATCATTAAACTACAGAATAATCATACCAATTTTATCTTTTCACTTTCATTAAAATCATCCAATACAACTGCTTTATTAAAATTTGTTAAAATTTTTATCGACTGACACAATGATAAAGTGAAGGTGATCAATTCATCAGTCGTAGATGTACACAAACGTAAACTTTGTTCAATGTAATCAGCTTGTTGTGAATCTAATGATGTTTGTATTGGAGTAGCCGGTGGATCTTCATCTTCTTCAACTGTACACGCTCTGCCAATAGCAGCTAATGATGCATGCATTTACAGAATATTTCAACACAGCCTAGATTAATTTAGTAGAAGAAAAAACGATAAAATCTGTAGTTACTATTAGTTACGTTTATATATATATATGATCTGAATAAACTAATGAGTTTAATAGTAAATGAACAAGTCAAATTCGCTTATCACTTCACAAGTGACTGATTGAACAGTTTATATCATTCGCTTAAACACGAGAAAAACTTTTGCCTCAGGATAAAATTTAGCTATCGACCAATTTGAAAACAGTGAATATATTAAACATATAGAAGAATTTTGTCACTGTGTATGCCTACTTGTTGATAACAAAGAAAAAATTAGACATTTTATTTAACTTCCTTTCATCACCTCAATGATAATAAAATATATATGATAACTCACTCATTGTGATAATCATTCATAAAATACTCTGGTTGACAAAGAGTGTCTTTGAGTGAAAACTGACAGCAGGCAAGTTGGCTATTTTTGAAGTACTGTGTTACATCATAATGTCTGATTAGCATAATTTAATTTAATTTAATTTTATTATAGCTTGATTCCACACAGTATTTTGATACAAGTATGAAATTTTCAGCATGTGATATCGGTAGCCCAAATTTAGCAGGCCGCCCATAGATATCAGATGTGCATCGGCGGAGGATCGAACCTCGGACCATGTGCACGGTCGGCGAGAGTCCTAACCGCTGTGCCACCGACGCACTATGAAATTATGTGAAATTCTCTGAAGCAATCTATGAAATTTTTATCGATTACAATATGATAAAACCGAAATGTTAAACTGCTCAATAAGACATTCTATGTTTAGAAACTCTACAGCTTTTATGTTCAACATAAAATAGTCTCATGTAGTTTGGTTGATGGATTAGAGTTATAACTCGCCACAAACCAATATCAATTATAGAGTCACTGAAAATCTAGCAGCATTAGATAGATAATTTGTTGTATATGAAAACTAATTAACCTTGTAATCGACTTCGTGAATCGTATTGGCCAAAACTTCTAGTTAGAACTTCAAAAAAGGTTCACCCCTGCTGAGGAATGAATTTTTATTCACATTTTGTATTTGCAGGGACAATTACAGAAGTTAATACCCAGTGACCAATTCATGTATTGCATACATATCAACATCCTACTGATAAATTATGCATTAGTCTGGTTCGAGGTTGATATCCTCTATGAAGATTCAAGCTTCAGAACAACTGAAAAGTTGATCTCATTTGTATTACTATCACTTCAAGGATAACATATCAGTAGAGATAAGGCAGTTTATTTAACCTACTGCCTTCTGATAACATTGTCAATGCTGAATAGCACAATTAACAAAGTCTTTTAATTCCTTTGAGTTCTGAGTGGAATATAGAGCTTCAAACTTGAGCTTTAAAGTTTCTATAGCCGTGGCATTTCATGTTTACGGGCGGGTTCGCTAACCTCATACTCAGCCTTCTGTCTTTACGGGCCTACCACCGGCTAAGCAAAGTTTAGGAGTGTGTCAGAGGCTAATAATGGGAGTCCGACCACTTGTATGGTTGGCGAACATTCTACTGATGAAGCACCGACTCGATATAAAAGTAAATGCATAAATCTTTTCATTTATCCCCACATGTAGATATCTGTTACCGAAAAACAAGCTATTTTATACCGTGCAAATCGGAAATGCATTATTCTCCGCACAATGGTTTATTAATATGCTATTTCCAGATATTATACGATTGTACCGTTATAAATAAGGCTGAAGATTAACATTTAATCTCATGTCTATCAAGTCTCAGCCGAACAACAAGTGGAGTTCGAGGTAATCGGTCAACAGATAGTTAGTGAATAAAACAGTGATGCCTCCATGTCTCTTCCCTGCGATCGATGATAACAAACTTAAAAATTCACACAGGCACCATTCATACTTACAGCACAGTTTATTTATTCAAACAATAGAAACACCTGAGTTCTGTGAACCAGTTCAAAGGAAAAAACAGATTAGCAGCCCATAAGTATGAGGTATAGTGATAGGCGCCGCATCAAACGATTCTAAGGATGTAGCTTTACATCAAATAATACAAACATATCTTCATTGAGATACTAAAAGTCTACACAAAATGAAGATTTAGTCTTGACAGCAAAAAAATCAGTAAGCCCAGAAAACGTTCTCATCCTCATATCTGATCAAAATTCGAATTTTAACATCAAGAGAATCAATACAGTCGATTAAATTAAGAACAGTGATGATGATTTTATAACTGGTCCGTGTTAAATATGCCGCTAACTGGTACTCAGCATTAGGTGAAAATATACCGCAAAATAATGCTCGTTGCTTCATTCTGCTTTATTGCATTGTGTAAATAAAAAATGCAAAAGGAGACTAATAGTTTATGTGTTTGATAAAAGATAACGACAATCCGAAAATATTTTAGATCAGATTTCAATGTAGTTTCTCATCTAGTCAGTGAACTTGAGTAAGCATTCCCACAGAAAAATTGGTGTTAATCTAGCGACTACAAATAATACGAAAACGCTGAAACGCAAACCTAGTGTTTTACCAAGTTGTCTCTATGAAATAAAATAAACTATCAATACTCCGAATTTTCATTCTATATACTGAGCAGAAGTGAGTTTTATAGTCTTATTCATTTCATATAAAAAGCTTTAAAAATACAACCAAACCTTTGGGTCAAGTGAGCGAAAGTAAAGCAAATGGAAATCACTCAGCTCAACTCTTCGTAACTTATGAATCAGAAAACACAGAAGGTTTTCATATTTAAATTTATTCAGACCGAAGTTCAAGTATGTTCTCATAGGAAAACGTTAATGATGAAAAGTAGTAACTTGAAATTTTGTGGCTTAAGTGGCGCAAATTCTACAAAGAAAATAAGATAATCTTCAAATTTTGAGGCATAACTCTGAATATCTTTGGTAGTAACCTAAAAGTATGGCATAATAAAGATTTGCAGAAAATGTGAACTCCCAACAAGTGGCATCAAGCTATTCCGTTTTAACACAATAATATATAGCTACTCACTATTATCAAGGACTAGCACCTTATGAGTGTGAATATTCACACAGAAATACTGTACAAAAATTTCCTAAATATCACTATATTATGAAGGAAAAAAGGAATAAATAAATTACTGTAAGAAAGAATGTCTAATCAGCCTTAAAACATTTAACTGGTGATGTAAACGACAGTAAATTTTGCCAAACCGGAAATTGGAAATATTATGAAAAGTCATGCATGTCTCAATTAGCGTGCTTCTAAATCCTATCTTAATCTATACTTTGGTTATTCAGATATTAGTCAAATGAGTTCAAGTTGCGTATGTAAACCAACCAGTTACCGAATATGGAAGCCATATAAAACTGAAACAAAGTATTATGGATATCATTCAATGAACATTTCAAGGAATAATTTAGTCATTTGCTTAAAATATTGGATGTCAAGACAAATTCTTATCAATGCATATTACATACGTTCTTCTTGCCCCAAGTTTACTAACCAACCCCGATGTGTTGGGTAGTGCAGTTTTAATGTTAAGCTCAGAGTATATGTCTACATTTAGATCTTACAGTTACTCTGCCTTTAAGTCCTCGTTGACTTGTCAGCTAAACTTTATCAACTTTATCAGTTGACAGTCAAACGAATCTTACTTTAAAGAAATAACTTCACATAGAAGACAGAAATTGCTTATTTAGAACGTCTGAAACTGCGTGTCTCTCAGGTTAGCTGAAAATAATTTTCCAGAAATTATCAGCTATCATGAATAATTAAAGACAGACATGTAGATTTGGGCAACATAATAATGTAGTGTGATAGTGATGTCACGAAATATTCTAGGTCTACGGGCTATTTTGTTTATAGAAAATGTCAGTATCAGAATTAGCAGCTTGGCAGTAAAATTTGACCACCTAATTGTAGTGCATCTATTGCAATTTCGAATACACTGCGGCGCGTAGCTATACCATCAAAGTAATTATGATAATTCTTTGTTTTCAAAGGAGCTATTAAGTAAATCCACCTCACAAATCCCATAGGATTTAAAATTTAGTGAATATATCCATGTATATGTTAAATGTATATATATGCTCTTGCAAGAGCACAACATAATATTGCCGGACTGATGTGTAATACGATAACCAGAAGAAACGACACTGAAAAAATTAATCTTTTTCACCTGATATAAAGACAATCTAAGCAGAAGTACTTAGACTATTAATTACAGTGAAACAACACATCTTAACGTGTTACAGTTTCAAATTAAACTCTGATAAATGTTGCTCAAAAAATTAAAATACAAGATGCATTCAATGCTTTAATTTTTGGACGTAATACCGAAGGCATGAACTCAGCCTAACTCTTGAAATTTAAATTCGATAGAAACAAAGTTTACCATTAATTACAAGACACTCCATTTAGCTGAAAAGATCCCCAGAAATAAAGTGAATAATTTCGAATGACACATATTTTCTTTTTATCTCACCTTCTTCCTCCCACACTGAGCGAATAATGTTCTTTAACGAACAAACCAGCGTAATGACATTCAGAAGGCTTTGAATTGACGGTGATTAGCGTACTCTCTAAATAGTGTGGACAAACAAACAACAAAAGTTTTGGTGATTATTTAATATTTAGTGTGTATCTAAGGAGTTTTTTTGACTAGAATTTTCTTTTATTTATTATTATGTGGAATAACAAAATATATGGCTATTAATTCATATATTAAATGTGTTGCTGGTGAAATTCCGTCAACATATTTTCTTCTTGACTTCATTAATCGGAGTGGTCCTCCTGGGTATTCTGAGAATTTCGATGCAGGGTGCTGATGTTTACTTCCACTGTATTTTTCTGGAACACTGTGACATTCAGGGTTTTAACTTGTTTTGAAGAGTTTTCGCCGTCTGCTATCCGTTTAAGTAACTGTTCATCCCTCGGTAAGTGGTTGTCGTATGGCTAAAATTTCTACTAGATTTATCGAAATTAAACTGCTTAAGAGAGGCTTCACACAAATATGAAG